GTCTGGTAGACTTTTTACTGACAATCATACATACATATCTGGAAGGATATGAACAGGCTGTTCCCATCCAAAGTCCTGGCTGTGAGAGAGAGAGAGACTTTACATGGACAGGGAGATTCCATGGACCTGGCAAGGTATAAAGGTTGCAGGAGGTCACCAGAGTTCAGAATGTCTCTTTGAAGCACTTGTTAGTACCCAAACTTCTTAAGTTATTAGAGAAGACTTTGCCAAAGTGCCATCTCTCAGTGCTAGTGGGAAAGCTAAAGGATACGATGAGAACGAGTTCTTGTACTTCTTTGAGAATGTAGAGATGGACTGCTTGGAAGTATATTCCCTGAGGGATTTTTTTCCTAGCATTGTGAATGAGGATAACATCCTTGAAAAGGAATTCTTGTCACAGGAAGGTCTTTGCTCCATCAAATTCTCTTCTCCAAGGTCAGAAGTTACCCCTTAGATATAACCAGGAGGTACATTAGCCTCACAGTAGTTAGCTCACAAAACGAGAGTTGCACGTTTCTCAGGATATGAGACTCCTCATAACAATGACGGCACTCAACATACCTACCCACAGAGCATCTCTCCGGTGTCCCAGGAGAGAGACATCTTGCAAACGAACAATTAGAGGAAGTTACATTGTTACAGAAAAAGTCTGGTCTTTGCAAGCAGATGAATCACAGCTAGAGAGGCTGTGTGACATGAATCAAAGGAGTCTCTGGTCTCACTGAAAAGTAATGGCAGTTGGAACAGAAACATCAAAAGACATGTTGGAAAAGACAAAAATACCTTAAAAGTGGGGGGAGGGACAGAGAAGAGGCAATGAAATGAAGATCTTGATATATGGCTGTAGGCTCATCACAAAGCCTGGAATAACCTGGTGAAGCTCTTTCCTGAGTCAAGAAAGTTGAGAGAAACCAAGAAGCAGGTAACATACAGTGTCTTTAGCATGCTCAGCATGATTGAAAGAATAGATGCCACGTGGGTACAGAAAATATTTTTTCAGGCTGAAGGGGCTGAGGTTCATGCCCTCTCCCGCCAAAACGCGCAAAGGGATAAACATTCAAAGAAGTGATACTTAATTGCCAACAGAAGGCACTGACCACCTTTTCTGCAACTTCCCACCATCTTGCTATACCCTACATGCCTGGCTTTAGTGACAACAGCGTTGTCAACAACACCTAGGCAGAGACTCTTCCCTCATATCTACTTGCAGTTTGGTTATCTGCCAGCCACCCTCCAAGTTCCCCAGCAGGAAGTGAAAGTCAAGCTGACTCCCTGTTAGCACACTGGGGCACAGATGCAGCAGTTTCTTCCCTTTTCGCACCAGTGCTTTCATTTCAGTTGCAGAAAGACAAACTTCAGAAAAATGCTGGGAAATGAAAGAGATATAGAAAAGTCAGGAGAGGAAGACCAAAAGGTTCAGGTATATTGGCATTATCTAAAAATAGGACCTGAAGACCTCACCTACATCCTGCCTTGAATGAGAGGAAGGCAAGATGCATCTCTCGCTAAAATCCTACAAGCCTCTGGATCCATCAGCAAATGATTACAGGCGAGCGAGACATGATGAGAGAAAACTTCCTCCGAAGCCAAGGATGTTGTACGGGAGGGAATACAAAACATGGGAAACAAGTGGAAGAGATGCAGATGAGGGAGGAAAAGGACATACAGGGGAATGAAAATACGGAAGTGACATAAAGGAAAAAAGATAGGACAAATTATTTAAATGGGAAAATGGACAGATGGAAGAGTGGGAAAGAAAAGAATTAGAAATAACAAATAAATTGTAAAAAGCAGTAACAAAATAGTAAGCTGGTATTCTTTCAGAGAACGAATATATATGGCACACATTGTGTTTTATTGTCACAAAATGTGGATGGAGGAGATGCTCAATGATCTCTGTTGTGACAAGCTCATAATTGCTCAGGATTACCTGTGGAAGGAAAAAAAAAAGAGAAAGAATTGAAAGTTTTTGATATATACACTACCATCTGTTTAAGGACTGCATTCATAGCAACTAGAAACCAAGACAAAAATTAGTCATCATGTAACCACGCTCCCCTGAGAAATTACCAACCTAAGGTAATTTTTCGGTTTCTAACAACACATTCAGACACAGTATCACAAAATATTTAAGGAGTAAGTCAAAATGAGGTACATACACCAAATAATGAAGTGGGTGCTTTATGTTCCAATTCTACCACATATTCAGTTTATTACTCTAAGTCATGAGTGTCTCACAGCCTAGCAGTTATATACAC